CAGGGCTCGACTGGGACAAAAAAATCGTCCCGGGCATTTTGACTAGAGACCGGCCGCCATTATAGGAAAAATCATAAAGCCTATGAATGAAAATAAACACTGTTGTGACAGTGATGTACACTGTTCTGATGGTATATATGTATCAATCTATCAATTGTTTGTTGCAAGACTCAGATAATTATTTTTTTAAAAGTGAGACATTTTAAATGAGAATAAGAAAGTATTTCCTTGTGTCCCTCTTTCCCTTTTAATGCCCTACATTGACCCCTGGCAGCACTTTGCTAGACCCGCCCCTGCACAGTTACCAGCTGTCAGCTACTTAGAAAAGGATCCTGGTGTTATTTGTCTCTCAGAAACAGTTCATAACTTCCCTTCAACTCATTCATGTCACCTAAAAGGTAAACCTGTTTCTCCATCACAGCTCTGATGATTCAGTAAGGACATCTCCTGGTTTCATCTTCATGTTTCCCTCTCACCAGATAACCAAACCGATATCATGACCAGCAGGTTTACAGCTGTGGCTCCAGCCAACATCAGCTGATACTAGAAATTAATATTAAATAAATTCTAACAACAGCTGATCAGCTTAAAAGTGCTGCTGTTGTTTAGCGTGACATCCACTGGTTTCCTCTTTCTGGCGCAAAGTGGGTGATAAATAAACAAGAGAGAAAAGCCGATCAGCTGATCATTGATCAGTTTCATGATTGAAGTAGAAACAGGAGAGGGAGGGGGAGAGGATGAGAGTAGAAGAGGCAGCTGTGCAATGTAAACACAGAATAAATCCATCTTTGTGTCTTTTTCATTGTAGCTGAAGTCCGGGACAAACTGTGTTCCTTTTCACCTCAATACGAAACGCATAATATTTTCTCTGAATACGAGACGATTCCGTTTTTTACAGGACTGTTGGCAACTCTAATAATTAACCTTATGAACAAAATAAAGTTCAACATCAGTAACATAGCACCACCCAGCTGTATAGAAACTCCATCATGCTAGCTAGTACCCAGCACGAAAAAGTCAGCATAACGAAAATAAACTCCACCTAAACTTGGTTCATATCTGACTCAGATGGACTGCAGGTCATAACTTCTTAACTGAAGTTCAGTTCACCTGACACTCTCGGACTAGCAGCCGCTTCGGGTCTCTCCTCTTGCCTCCCTTTTCCTTCATCCACCTGCTGGCCTCCACCACTTGCTAATGTTATTGAATCTGTGGAAGCTCCGTGATAGCCACCACACAAAGTAACGAATAACGAGCCTATCTAAACCCCAGTAACGAGTAACGCGTTCCCGGTTTTGGCATAATAACTAGTTACCGTGCTTGTTACCACAATAATAACGTAGTTACTGTAACGCGTTACTTAATAATGCGTTAGTCCCAACACTGGTGGCCTGTTGATTGAATTTTGTGTTAGATTATGATATATTGTTTAACAATTATTCTCTTTTAAGCAATGTGTGTCCCAATATAAAGATGTGAAAGCAGTATTATGTTTACATCATAGTTAAATAATAATAATAAAAAAATATTAATATTTTTCCAAAATAATTGTGATTATCATTTTGATCCTACTTGTGCAGACCTAGTTTGCAATGTTAAAAACAAAATTATTTTAGTTCAAATTAATTTATTTTCAAACAGGCAAAGCAAAGATGAATCCAGTGCCTTAAAATTGCAGTTTGTCTGAACACAGGCAGATGGCGCTAATTGTGATCTACTGCCTGGACTAATGGACTAATCTTTTCCAATCCCATGAGCCCCTTTGCAGCCAAAAGGACTTAAAGTATTGAAGATACAGGCGATAAACTGTCAAAATGTGATTTCCAGTGTTTCTGTATTGTTTGTTTTTTTCATGTGTAATATCTCTGCTTATATTGGTAAACAGATTGTAGTCAAAGGGTTTACAAAGGGCTTATATATAAAATAAAAAAATTATTTCTGTTGCAATCCTTATTATTCCATGATATTGTATCTAAATTGTATTCAATTCAGTCTTTTCTGGCCACTATCGTTATTAAGGCTGGGTATTGTCACTGAGTTCTAGAATCAATTCGATCCACGATTCGATTCGATTTGAATCGGGGACATTTTGCCTCAGTCAGAAATATTATAATTCAGATCATTTATCAGTACATTTCCATATTTTTATATCTATAAAAAGAAAGCTGACACTTGCGAGACTTTATCAAAGGTGTGAGCATCACAGCAGATGCTTTTGTGTCAAAGTAGCTGAGGATAAAACAGAAAAACATGAAGGTAATTTTCCTTTCCTGGGATTTTATAAAAATATTCTGCAGTAGATCAAAAATGAAAGAAAACCATTAATCAACATATGAACATTACCTGATGCTGCTGAAGTGAAGCAGAGCAAAGTTACAGAGGTTTTATTAGAGACACAGCCATGCTTTTTGCAATTTTGCATAATTTTAAAAAGTTTAAATTTGTTCAGTAGCTTATTAAACAGCGGAAATGAGGCTTTCTTTTCGAAAGTACTTAAAAGGAAAAAAAACAGTGGCCGACAGCGCTGTAAACAACGGTAGACTTGTGCGCAAGTGAATAATGAAGAAAACAGATTTTTAGATTGGGAAACTGTTCTTGAAGTACACTGGGGGAGAGAGAGAGAGAGCTGTGCATGAAGTGTGATTTTATCATGGTGGAAGTAAAACAGGAAAAGTAAGAGGGAATTCATGACGATGTTTATCAAATGTGAAGCGTAGTTTGCTGCTTCATTTGCTGCTGTTTCATTGAATTTTGGTTGGAGAGAGATAAAACCTGCAGCTCAGAATCTAGCGCAAAAAATACACAAACACAAAGCGCAGACCTGCTGAAACATCAGAATCAGCGAGCTGTCGGCTTTCAGCCCCGACGACATGCTCGTGCCGTCGGGTGAGAAAGGCGACATCTCACTGATTCTGATGTGTCGGCGGGTCCGCGCTTTGTGTTTTTGTGCAGAATCCGCGTACCTGCTCTCATTTACTGTTTTAGCTGTTTGGTGGTTGTTGACATTTTGTGAGGTTTAACCTGAGATTCTGGCTTTTCAGGCAAATTAAATTTATATTAAAAAATCGGTTCAGGATTTTAATGAATCAATATCACGTTATCCATGCTAGAATCGATTTTAATCGATAAATCGATAATCAAAACCCACCCCTGATCATTATGCTGCTGCTATATTATTCTTATTTCAATTTCTGCTGCCTTCTTGGCCAGCTCACTCTTCAAAAACAAAAAACTAAAAAACAATTCTAATGTAAATGAGACTGTTCAACCAAATAAATAAAGGACATCTAAATGTCAACAAGTCATTTACAACAGCTTAAATTTTTTTGGCAAATACTGAAAATTCCTTTTTGGCAATTACACCGAAAGCTTCAACTGAGAGATGGAGGATGGACTTTTTTACAGACGCAAAGGAAACATTTTTTAAAAGAAAGCCATTTTTCATGTTAATTTTATACATGTTCGGTCATATCTAAGATGTGAGTCAAGACAAGAGATGGACCGATCCGATATTACGTATCGGTATCGGTCCGATACTGACCTAAATTACTGGATCGGATATCGGAGAAAAATAAAAAATGTAATCCGATCCATTAAATATCACGAAAGCACCTCACAAAACTTGCAACACGCCGTAACTCACCTCAGAACGTTAGCACGTCGGAGCAGTATGCATCACGTGATAGAGCAGCTGTGGCATGCCGGACCTGTGGGTGGTCTGGATAGCATGTGGAGCTTCGCTAGCAACCCGGCATTTCATCTCCGACAAAGTTATCCCCGAGAGAAGTAAAGCAAGTGTGTAAGTCCATCTCTGAATGTTTGTAAAGCATTCCTGCGTTAAGCTTAACAAGCGACTGCCTCTCGCTCTCTCCTGCTGCTACTTCAATCATGAAACTGCTTAACGATCAGCTGATCGGCTTTTCTGTCCGAGTCCGTGTCTCTGGTTTGCTTTTGGCCCACTTTGCACCAGAAAGAGGAAACCAGCGGCTGAACAACAGCAGCACGTTTAAGCTCTATAAGCTGTTGTTAGAATTTATTTATTATTACTTTATACTCGAGGATCTTTTTCTACGTAGCTGACGGCTGGTAACTGTGCAGGGGCGGATCTAGCAAAGTTTAGCCAGGGGGGCCGATAGGGCATTAACAGGGAAAAGGGGGCACAAAGACATACTTTTCTTTCTTATTCTCATTTAAAATGTCGAGCTTTTAATTATTTAATATTTATCTGAATCTTACACCCAAAGTTTTAATTTGATGTAAAATGTATAGAAGTCCATTACTGTATATAGTAACTGTTAAGTCTAATATACCCTAGTAAGCTATAGTACTTTTTCCTTTGGGAAGGTACCATCTGTGCAGTCTGCAATTTTGTTGAAGAAAGATGTTGAATCTATTTAATATTTCTTGAAAAATAATTGATTTCTGTGTATTTTTTTTCACACTGCATCAAATTAAGGTTGATTACGTCGATTAAGCATCATGAGGTGGAGCGTGAGGGGTGGTTCCCTATTTTTTATTTTTTATTTTTGTTGTTGCTGGGAGTTGGAACCCTATTAGTTAGGTTGCTTAATATTTATGCTAAGTACTCTTTAAAATACCAGAATAGGGAGGATGGTGTAGGTTTAAGTTTATTAGATTGATCAGTATTGCTGAACTATGAAATATTTTTTTTTGCATACAGGTATAACAGAATAGCTTTAGTGTAGTTGTTGTTTTAAACTTGAGTATGAACTTATACAAAATGCAGAAAGATATTTTAAAAACAGTTTTGTTGATTAAAAAACACTATATCGGATTCATATCGGTATCGGCAGATATCCAAATTTATGATATCGGTATCGGTATCGGACATAAAAAAGTGGTATCGTGCCATCTCTAGTCAAGACATAACAGATTTTATATGACTGATATGTCCATTTGTGAAGTTTAACTATTTAGATGTTAAAGATTTTGCCTTTGCTAATTAACCAACTGTAATGTGTATTTCTGTGTATTAACAGATGTATATCTATACAAACGCAAAGCTTTTTGCATTTGCTGTTGTTGGTGTGCTGTTCATCATGTTTGCATTCTATATGGGGAATTCGTGTAAATGGGCAAATGAGCTACCCAACAACAATCTTCCAACATCAAAACAAAGGTAAATTATTCCTGTATCGTGTGTCTGTGTGTGTGGACAAACTGTCCTCTTCAAACTTGTATGTTATACATTTTTCTTTTCATGGCAGATAGACTGAAGCAACTGAGTGAGAAGGATAAAGTGATGTAGCTAAAACAGTGCTGAAAGTGACCTGTGCACAATATTTGTAAGACCCTTTGAAAAGAATGGTAAATGGCCTGTATTTATATAGCGCTTTACTAGTCCCTAAGGACCCCAAAGCGCTTCACATATCCAGTCATCCACCCATTCACACACACTGGTGATGGCAGCTACATTGTAGCCACAGCCACCCTGGGGCGCACTGACAGAGGCGAGGCTGCCGGACACTGGCACCACCGGGCCCTCTGACCACCACCAGTAGGCAACGGGTCAAGTGTCTTGCCCAAGGACACAACGACGAGACTGTCCAAGCCGGGGCTTGAACCGACAACCTTCCAATTACTCTTGAGCCACGATCGCCCCAAGAAGCTGAAAGTCTGCACGTCAATTATGTATTGATTATTTGATAGTGTCTTTGTCACAATCATTATAGAGGGCACTGCATATATGTTCAGAAATTTTCTGGGAGATTTAAGAATGATCACTAATTCATTTTATTCAACACTGCATATTTACTGTTTCCGGTCAACAATGACCAATCACTAGAAATTAATAGTGGAGACAACAATTAGTGTAAATAACTGAGTTCAGGTACATCCTCTTTTGTCAGATGGCCATAAACACACACACACACGCACACACTGGGTTCCCTAGCAACTACACTGGAAATGTTTGCACAATAGAGCCTCACTTCCATGCCAACAACTCCTCTGTTGGCAGCATCATTGTATCATTGAACTTTTCTCATAGATTTGGTGTAAAATGCTTTTTTGAGGCCTTGCTCAGAGGTCAGTGGGTGTCAGCACCATGACAAGGTGATATATAACCTAAGTGAGGCTCTTTACTACTTATTTGATCACTACACTGGTGAGGACGAGAGATGCCAGGAAACTGACGGTGGGGATGCATTAGAGGAGAAATTGTCTGCATCAGAATATAATCCATGCAATCTAGACCAAGAAATGACTGATGAGGAGGAATCTAATGATGACTAGGATGGCCATGCTGAGGCTGCCATAAGGATCACATCATATAAGGACATACTTTCTTTTATACTTGACTGTAGTAGTTCATTTAAATGTTGATGTTGAATTGTGACTCTTCAGGACTTCCATATTACAGGGACCCTTCAGGATCTCTAAATTATAAGTCATCTTTGCCCACACAACATCGCTTACCTGGTCCATGCACCTGTCCTGATGGCTTTACAGTTCTCAAAGACCAAATCCCAAAAGACCAGTATGAGGAATTAATGCAGCGACGAGCTAAAGAGTTCCAGCAATACAAAGCCAGGTAGAAGATGGATGTATGGGTGCGAGCTTTCCGTGAACTGTTAGACTTACAGTGCAGTAATAAATGAATTAAAATGTGTGTGTGTGTGTGTGTGTGCGTGTGCGTGCGTGCGTGCGTGTGTGTGTGTGTGGTGTGTGTGGGGGGGGGGGGGGGTGTCATACTGAGCATTCAAAATTATTTTGTTTAATTTTTTCCAAATCCATCTCCTCAACAGGACTAATTCAATACTATCCAAGCTACTTTTTGCTTTGCCTAACTCTCCTCTGCAGTATCCTATCCAGGGCGTTATAGTACGACCCTTGACTGCAACTGCGATACCAGGTATGTTAAGCTCAACATATGCTTCGGTCACCAATGTTTTAGTTTTTATGTTCCTATAAAAATATAAATACAAATAGAATAGGAAGGCAACAAGGCCATGGTTCACAATTGTTTATGAACATAAGGTTAACATGAAAGTGATCATAGTAGTTTTTATAAAAGTAAGCTGTCAGTAGTCAGATCAAAAACAGCACTGAACAAATACATCTGCAAAGAAGTAGTTATTTGGTGATTCAGAGTCAATTGACTAGGTAAACTTAAGTCATTTAAAAAACAGCTAGAAAAAGCTACATTTCCTGTGAAAATGGCAGGTGAATGCCATGTAGTGGAAATGGTCTTTGAAAAACTGCTGAAGAAGCAGGACTATCTGCTGAAAAGAGGTAAAAAAGCTGAAAGGCCACAGATAGTCAAACCTACGCCCCCCGTTGTCAGGGTGCCTGCTCATCTCAGTGAGCTACAACGGTGCTCATGCCAGCAAGCCAAACAGAAGAAACTGCACTGTCTGCTGAAAAAAATGTTACCACGAGAAAGACTGGAATTCACGCCTCCCGCTCTCAGAACGCCTGCTTATCTCAGTTAGCTAAAACACAGCTCACCCCAGCGAGCTAAACCAGCAACCACACTTGTAGTGTGGTCCCAATCATGTTAATGGGACAAAAAATTGCACAAAAACCGTAATATTTTAAAACGTATAAAAAACTGAGTGAAAGATAGCTGAGGTTTCCTCAAGAACTCACCTTGCAACACTGGTGTAAAGTGAAAAGATGATGTGAATATGTGTATTTGAGTAGAAGGACTAAGTGACACTGAAGGTAGTTTTTATTTCAGGTTTAGCTCTGCATGCTGAAGAAGGAACGAGCTATAAGGTTGGTCTGATATCACAGATTAGAAACAGGCAGATCTCACCCAGATCTGCCTGACTGAATGGTAGAGGTTGGCTGGTTTATAAAAGTTGGCTGCTGAATGTTTGTAAAGTTCAAAGATGTGTATGCTTATTTTATTTTATAAAAGGCAATGATGTTCAAAACAATTAAATTGTACTGAAAAGTTAAACATAATTAATTGTCTCTGATCACCTCTGAGACTGTCACTAATTTTGATGTACAAATCTGGGGATTTTTGTAAATATTACAAGCAATTATACTTCTTTCTTCTTTGACATGATTTTTTAATCAATGTACAGCAGCCATATTGGGTGACCTTGGGATTTTATAGAGCTTGCTACTGAAAATGCTTTGATTTTGAGAGCCAGTATCATATTCTGAATTTAAGTTCACATTTTCTCATTTTTATGCCAAGAGAATTATATACTATATACCAACTGTCAAAAAATGTATTATTGCATTCATGTGTGGCAAACAAGGCTTGGTATACAATCTGCATAGTCAGTATGGGATACAAATAATATCAGGCTGATCCTGCCACAATTTGTTGTCACCCAGAGTGGGCACTCCACCCATTTTTTAGCTGACGTGGCAGTTTTCAAAAAAACAGCAGGAATCACCTGATTTGTGATACGATATGTATCACATGAGCAACAGATACTTGTTATAGTTGTTAGTTCATTGGCCTTGAGACTAGACCAGAAGAAATAATGAAGGACATTATTGTACATTGACCAGAGAAATAGGCTAAATTTTGAACCTGGAACAGGGCATGGAGATATCATTTAGTACAGTTTTTTATGTATAAAATCAGTCTAGCAGTACATTGAAACAGCAATGACCAAAAGGACGACAAGCTTTTATAAATTTTCTTCCATGAGGTTCTAGTCTTACGTGTGTAGTCTTACCACTACAATAATAGCTGCCAATTATCAATTACAGCCCCTTTTGGTAGTTGATTTTGAAATTTCTCAAACAGCACAAGCTCACATGATAGATTTTAACTTTATTAGCCTTTGACATTTGTCTAAAAGCACCCTCTTGCAATCTCTACATAAGTTGGGGTGGCAGGTTTATTTCATATTCCTAAATTTTTACTTTTAAGATTCACGCACTGAAACCTATGCTTGCAGGACAGTGGATTTCACAATATAATTCAAACTGTCCTCAGTTGAAGAAGCTGTGCGTACTTGCGTTTCCCACTATTTTGCAATCTAACAAGACAGACCACACACCCTTTGGGCTGTGTAGTGCACCTGATATGCACTGAATGCTATAAAACTATAGGAACGCTGAAAAATATGTATTTGCATCAGGTTCTCAGTTTCCGTCTCACTTTAAAGCTTTCTTCTGGTTTAAAAAGACAGCTTGAGTGGTGGTGCAGTTTTGTGGAGGTGGTAGTAGTATTGGTATTGCTAAAATTACTCAGAGTGCTTTTTAGTTTATTCATGTGTTTCTATTCTAGGTTTTCTTAACTGTGTCAAATGGTGTCCTAACCACAGAAACTCCAACTGCAGAGGCCACTGTTCAAGGTGAGTTTCCAAGTCAAAGGTAAATTTATATATACACTGGTACCAAATTAACATTGGTTTGGGTTTTTTCTTTTGTTATTTTTAATTATTGAATATTATTAGCTTGCTTTTTTTCTCTTTGTTTCATTGTTTTTTGTTCCTGTGTCCCCAATAGAAGGATGAACACTGTACAGAAAATGCTAATATTTATATAATTATTTTGGATGAAAATTTGAGCAGCGGAAGACTAGTAAAAGCTAGGTGTAAGGTAAACTATATGCCAAGAGTGAACAAGACATTGATACACTGATCCATACCAGTACAGCGTCTACAGCAATTACATTGGAATATCATTCAAACTGGAGAAGTTTATTTGAATGGTAACAAAGAGAGGAAAGGTAGTCAGAACTAAGGGGATTGCACTTGTTGATCTGTGGGACCAGCACCCGAATACAGGAAGTTTGATCATATGAGTATTACTTCAGTGCAGAGCTTGGAAGGAGTTGGTGAGGGGACTCCCCCAGTTCTAATTGCCTCTAATTTCTAAATACCCCAGTACCCCAGCTAAACTGAGAGGACTGAGTAGCCTTACAGGCCCAGTATGTACCGGTCACAGCTGTTGCAGCAGCGCCCCTCTTGTTCAGTGTTCTTGGAATATGACTGGGTTTAGTTTAGTGGCCTGGAGTGTAAGACTCAAGGTTCTGAGTTCAATTTCTCTAGCCACACCTGATGGCCAGGGCTTTTCCCGTGGAGGCTAGCAGGCCTCAGACCAAAGAAGCTACATGGGTCCAACTACCACCATGGTGGGAGTATACTTGAATCCTCCACCCTCCAACAAGTTTTCTTTCCAGACATTGAGATTTTCTCCAATGAATGAGAAGTTGCTTCTCTATGCCTTTGGGTTGGGGAAAAGGTCCTGACTATCATTTGTCTGTGTGCCAAATGACACTTCAGAGTGCTCAGCCTTCTTGGGGTCATTTGTTGGAGTGCTGGGAAGTGTGCCATCTGGGGATTCCATTGTTCTACTCCATAACTTCACATGGGCAATGATAGCGGGACCTGGAGAGGTGTCATAGGGAGGAATAGGCTGTTATATCTGAATGGAGTTCTGTTACTGGACTTCAGTGTTAACGACAACATAACACCACGATTGAGGGTATTCATAAGTGAATGTGGCACCAGAACACTATGTAGAAGGTTGATGGTCAGTTTTGTAATCGTATTATCAGATCTGCAGCCATAAGTCATGGACACTCATGTGCAGAGATGAGATGCGCCGCTAGTTGATCACCACCTGGTGATCAGTTGTGGCAGAAAATTCTGGACAGACCTGGTGAGGGTATGCTGCAGGCAGGGGCCATCTTCAATTCCCACTGTAATTTAATTTATTCCATTTTTTTTTTCCATTCATTCGCTTCCGCTTATCCTTTTCAGGGTGAGAGAAAGAAGACAGGATAAAAGACATGCTGTGGAAGAGAGACAGAGATTAATAACAGATATGATTCAATGCAAAGAGGTCTGTTAATACATAGTGAGTGAGAAAGGTGACTGGAAAGGAAAAACTCAATGCATCATGGGAATCCCCCGGCAGCCTACGTCTATTGCAGCATAACTAAGGGAGGATTCAGGGTCACCTGGTCCAGCCCTAACTATATGCTTTAGCAAAAAGGAAAGCCTAATCTTGAAAGTAGAGATAGTGTCTGTCTCCCGAATCCAAACTGGAAGCTGGTTCCACAGAAAAGGGGCCTGAAAACTGAAGGCTCTGCCTCCTATTCTACTTTAAATACTCTAGGAACAACAAGTAGGCCTGCAGAGCGAGAGCGAAGTGCTCTAATAGGGTGATATGGTACTACAAGGTCATTAAGATAAGATGGGGCCTGATTATTTAAGACCTTGTATGTCAGGAGCAGGATTTTGAATTCAATTCTGGTTTTAACAGGAAGCCAATGAAGGGAAGCCAAAACAGGAGAAATATGCTCTCTCTTTCTAGTCCCTGTCAGGACTCCTGCTGCAGCATTTTGGATTAGCTGAAGGCTTTTCAGCGAGTTTTTTGGACATCCTGATAATAATGAATTGCAGTAGTAAAGCCTGGAAGTAATAGCTGTAGAAGACGCATGGCAGATCCTACCACATTGTCACACTTTCAAACACTTCTTTATTCTGTTGGCGTTTGTTTTACACTTGGCTGCAGCTTTTCACCTGCCAGCCACACATACACAATAACAACACTCAGGCCCCAGTTCACTCTTTTATGGAGAGAGGCGTGATGATCTCATGCAGCTCAGGTGTGTTTTCCTCCACCGCAGTGTGCCACGAACCACGCCCCATCACACCTCAACTGCACTCTGAGGGAGGCTGGGAACAGTGAATCTGAGTGGATCATGTGCTGCATTTCTAAATTGGCAACAAGGGGCTGCGGCTTGTAGAGCCTGTGGGACTCCAGAGGCAACTGACAGGTTGCAGGCTAAGCAAAGTACAGTTGTGGGTCTTATGTGGCTGATTCAAAAATGTAGGGGTGGAGTTCATTGAGACCATGGAAGAAGAACTTTTTCTTTTTCTAAATGTATATAAATTATTTGCTAAAACCAGAACACAATATTGTGGTCTAATAGAATACATGTTTGGTGTTTGGAAGAATTGTTTCCAGTGCCTTCACAAAACACTTTATTATGTTTAGAAAACAAATGGTAACACAACTCAAGTGCGGGACTCAGGCAAAACAACAAGGCAGAAGAAGTAGTTAAAGACTTAAAGATATTTACAAATAATTTAAACTGGGGTGAGTGACTAATTCGACTTAAACAAACACAAAACACATGAGTGATCTTTTACGTGGGCAAGAGTCTTGACTAAACACAAATATCAGATTAACTTGAGTGAGACACTGTGTCAAGAGATGTATTCTAAAAAAAAGAAAAAAAAAAAAAAGAGATGTATTCTAAAACACTTCAGCTGAGAATCAGAGAGGAGAAACACACAGTTTTACTTGCATCAAGGACAGCCACAGAGCACCTGCACGAGAGTGAGAGCTCAGGGACTCGTGCTCCGCCACTGCCCTGGTCTTTATTTATAGACATCAGTGGGTGTTGGTTCCTTACATTGGAATGTGGATGGAGAGCTGCACTGGTCCTTTTGAACAGTTGTTGATTGCACTGCTGACTCACACATTAAGGTCAATGAAGGTCAAATGAAGGGTTTTCATGTACTCAGCCTAAAGTGTGTCTGATCCTTCCACTGTCTAGGTGGTAATTATCTGTGGTAAAGATTGCTGGCTCTCCATTATTTCTGTCAGTAACACATTAAACTAGCCGTTATTACTTTTTTTTTAGATTTTTATAATTTTTTTCCTGTAACATGTGTAAAATAAAAATTGCAATCTCAAAAGACTGAATTCATAAAAGAGTAATGTGATAAAATTTAGAAGACAAAGACATATACATGTGTTCTTTTTCTTACAAGGTATCTTGACACTTTTTTAAAAGCACTACCCTGCAACCCTACCCTTTTTTATTACATCTTTTTATATTATGATGGTTTTCCCTTGGACTTGCCTCCATAGCTCCATACAATTTTAGACATCGTGTCTCCTCAATCAGCGTAGTATTGGTGGTTTTACATGAATCTTATTTGGTAAAGTTCAGGGCTTCATATTGTTGTTGTCAATTATCAGTAACTAATTAATTTTGGCTGGGCTAGCGTGGTAGTTAACACTGTTGCCTCACAGCAAGAAGTGTTATATCTTCACTCCGGGTTACTAGTATAACAATGATACTCGGACCACGACGTAACTTGAGGTATTTATTATAACGGCATAACTTAACATGGAGCTAGCCCGAGCGACAGCCTAAAGCTTTTTATCCCATAATGCATCTGGGCGTGACCGCTACGGGTCCTGTTATAACCCAAAATACACAACATCTCCTCCCCTCTTACAAAGGATGTACTACGAAATAAACAGGTGATCTACTCACAAACTTCAGTCTTCACTGGCACATGACAGTAATAGCCTCACAAACATTTCACCTCTTATTAACTGTAAGGTTACAACACCAACTCTTTTAATTGCTATCTTGGGGAGTGAGGGTGGACTACCTCAACCTCCCCCATGACCCATGGGGATTATTCTGCCCCGTTCATTTGGGTCAGGTGCCATCTAATAACTCAGACGAACAGGAGGCCGCCGCTCTCTGTTGGGGTAACATCAGTCTGTGTGCTCTCTTGTGGAGCCTTTGTTCCTGACACCGAAGATGTCTCAGTCTCTCTTACAGTCTCATTTACAGGTGGAACCACTGTTCCTGATGTGGTGGAGTTCTCTACTTGTGTGTGTGAAGGGGCTGCCGAGTCGATGAGTGCATTTCCAAGATCTCCGCAAGACCCTTCTGCAGACACTGGTGCGGACCGGAGTAGCTGATCCACACTCCATCGGCCACCTGAACTGTATATGAAACTGGACCAGTTTGAGCAATGACAGTTGCAGGAACCCACTTGTGTACTCCTCGGTAGTTCCTGGCCTGCACTTACTCGCCGGTGCTGAAGACTCTGTCCTTGACCTTTTGACCCCTGTACATGATTTGTTTCTCTTGTTTTTGTACAGTGTCCTTCACAGTTGAGGGTTTCAAAAGATCAAAGGTAGTGCGCAGATCTCTTTTGAACATTGCGTTGGCAGGAGATGTCCTTGTGGTAGCATGTGGACTATTCCGGTAGTTAAGCAGAAACTTGTGCAGTCTCTGATGCAGTGTTCCTTGGCCTTGTGATGTTTTCAGTGCATGTTTCATTGTCTGAACAAACCTTTCTGCAAGACCATTCGTTGCAGGATGGTATGGAGCTGACGTAATGTGCTGCACTCCATTAGCCTGTAGGAAAGCCTCCATTTCCTGTGAAACCAGTTGAGGTCCATTGTCAGAGACTATCTGAGTAGGAGATCCAAACCTACTGAACATTTCTCCTAGAGCTTCTATGGTCTTTTCAGTGGTGGCTGATTTCATGATGGTCACTTCAGGCCATTTACTGTGTGCATCAAC